CCCAAATTCAGGAAGATCCGATAAAATTAGTCGGGATCACGGGACACTCTATCACTACGATCGGAAAAACGTATCTGACCATCAAATTAACAGACGGAAACATAAAACACCCCGTATACGTAATCCGAGACGATGTACCGATAGATTACGAAGGGATCATCGGACTCGACTTCGTTCACAAAAGTAAAGCGTTATGCGATTATGACGCAAAAGTAATAAAAATAGGTGCGACAGAATTCCGACTCTACCCGTATAGGCGAATCATATTGAAGCCACGGAGTGAAACAATCGTGCACGTAACCACGGATCAAAATACGACCGGCGTGACGCGAAGAGCGGAACCGGCACCGGGAGTCTTTATCGGTAACTGCTTGGTCACACCGAAAGACTATACTTGCCCCGTAAGCATATTGAACACAACTGAGAAAGAGATAGACACACAGGCACCGCATGTTACAATTGAAAGCGTAGCAGAGAGTACGCAAGCCGAAGCAAGAAGCGCACAACTAGCACACATAAATGTCAAGGAATCCATCTCCATTTCACGAACCGAGCAGATAAGAAATCTATTACGAATCAGCCATCTGAACCGCGAAGAAAAGAAACTACTAATGGAAATATGTGAAGAATATAACGACGTCTTTCGTATAGACGGAGACCCACTCACACATACCACAAGTGTTGAGCACGAGATAAACACACACGCCAATTCTCCAAGCGTGAACGTGAGACCTTATCGTCTCCTAGAGAAACATAAAGAAGAAGTCAATCGACAGATGAAGGAAATGCTGAATCAACAAATAATAAGACCTAGCACCAGCCAGTGGAACGCACCCCTACTAGTAGTACCAAAAAAGATGGACGCTTCAGGAAAACAAAAATTGCGCATAGTAATCGATTTTCGAAAACTTAACGATCTAACAATAGGAGCTTTCCCATGCCGAACATTACAGATATTCTGGATCAACTCGGAAACGCAAAATACTTTTCCACCCTAGATTTAGCCTCAGGATATCACCAGATATCAATGGCAGAGAGAGATAAAGGAAAAGCAGCGTTCTCAACTCCGTATGGGCATTACAAATTCAATCGAATGCCATTCGGGCTCAAGAACGCCCCGGCAACCTTCCAACGCCTAATGAATACTGTACTGATGGGAATACAAGGGCTCAAATGCCTAGTCTATTTAGACGATATCGTGATCTACGGTCCTAGCCTAGAAGAACATAACAAAAGACTTATCGATGTATTAAAAAGATTACGAGATAATAACTTGAAATTACAGCCAGACAAATGCGAATTTCTCAGAAAAGAGGTGATGTTCCTAGGACATGTGATTTCGGAAAACGGAATATCGCCCGACCCTTCGAAACTAGAAGCAGTAAGGGAATTCCCGATCCCTCGCAAAGTCAAAGATGTACAATCATTCATCGGTCTAGCAGGATACTACCGAAACTTTATTGAAGATTTTTCAAAAATAGCAAAACCACTTACGAAATTGACAAAAAAGGGAGAAAAATTTCAATGGACGACAGCCCAACAAAATGCGTTCGAGCAATTAAAAATTAAATTAACAACAGCACCTGTGCTGAGATACTCCAACTTCAATCAGAAGTTTCTCATTACAACGGACGCCTCAGATTACGCCATCGGAGCCATCCTATCGCAAGGTACGGTAGGTCAAGACCGGCCAGTGGCATACGCCAGTCGTGTACTATCACGAGCAGAACAGAACTAATAATACAACCGAAAAAGAATTACTAGCAATAGTATGGGCAGTAAAGCATTTCAGACCATACGTCTATGGAACCAAATTCAAGATAATTACAAGCCGCTCATATGGCTATTCAATGTAACTGATCCGGGATCCAGACTAATAAGATGGAGACTCAAGCTAGAAGAATACGACTATGAGATCATCCATAAATCAGGAAAAAGAAATACAAACGCAGATACTCTAAGCAGATACCCAATTAAAAATGAGGAACGAATAAATAACTTCAAGAAAGAAGATAACGAAGAAGAAGAAGAGGAACGAGAAGAATACTCGGAAGAAGAGAAGAAACAGATACTATACGAGTATCACGACGCCCCCGTAGGAGGACACCAAGGAGTAGCGCGAACTCTTAAACGCATCAGGTTGCTACGCAATTGGCACGGAATAACTAAAGATGTCGAGAGATATATAGCCAAATGCGATTATTGCCAGAAAAATAAACTACGACAAAAAACCCGAATGCCCTTAGTACTTACAGATACACCCTCTATGCCTTTTGAAAAATGTGCATTAGACATAGTAGGACCGCTAACGATTACCGAAGCAGGAAATAAGTACGTCCTCACATTCCAAGATAATTTAACGAAATTTAGCAAAGTCATACCTATACCTAACCAAGAAGCGAATACAGTTGCCAAAGCATTCGCGACAAAAATAGTACTTGAACACGGTATACCACAAAAAGTGCTGACAGACCAAGGCACAAATTTTGTTAGCGAAATCTTTAAAAATACATGTAAACTATTAAAAATCAAAAAAATTCACACAACTGCATACCATCCAGAAAGTAATGGTGCACTAGAACGATCCCATCGAACACTAGCAGAGTATTTACGCCATTATATAAATCCTGAGCAAAGCGACTGGGACGAATGGTTGCCATACGCAATGTTCACGTATAATACAACACCACACACAACAACGGGATTTACACCCTTTGAATTAATATACGGTCACCAGGCAATCCTACCCTCAGCTCTTAACCAACCACCAAAGCTTACATACACATACGATGACTACGCGCAAGAATTAAAGGAAAGAATACGCGCAGCAAATCAAATAGCAAAAGCTAATTCAAAAGAAGAAAAAGAAAAGAGCAAAAAATATTACGATAAAAAGCAAAGGAAACGAGCTTCAAAGTAGGCGATAAAGTGCTTTTATTAGACGAAACCCTACGAAGAGGAAGATCTAAAAAGCTAGAACCTCAGTGGATCGGACCTTATATAATAATAGAAAAGCATAACGACGTAAATTATTCAGTTAAAATGGGACGAAGAACTATCCGCGTACACGCCAACAGACTTAAACTGTTCATCGAAAACTAAAACATACTTACCTAACCCGACTCGTCCCGAAACATACACACCTCCACTTCATCCTCAAGGACGAGATCCTCCTCCTCAGAAACAGATTCCTGATCCTTAGTAACAACACTCTCCTCCTCCGTATTATAAACAGGAAAAACATCCAAGTCCCCGGAGGAAATAGAAATAACGTCAGACGAAATCACGGACCAATCATCCGAGGGACGATCGTCCAACAAATCCAAATCGGAACCATCCTCCGACAGAACAGGATCGTCAGGCTGTTCCACGGGCTCCACCACAAGATCCTTTAATGAGATCGGAACTCGAAGGAACATACCGAAGGCCAGAAAAGAACTAAGGAAAGGACGACGAGAAACAACAGCCAAAGCTGAGACACATAGAGGTAACCAGAAGCATGGATCATATAGCAAAGATAGTAAAATGAAGCAGCGTGAGAAAGCCATAAGACACATACATACTAACCAAAATAAAGAAGTGTCTACTCCTCCTTCGTGGAGTCGCCGGATTCCCCAGATCCCTTGCAAGGCGACATCCCAGACAAAGAATCGTACCAAGAAAGGAACTCCCCGGGCGTCGGAAAAGTCTCTGCGACGATGTCCAGTAAATCAGCGGCGTAAGCGCTGAAATCGCCGACGAGGTCGAAAACAGACTTGTCCATCAACAAGCCGACAGGATCGACTTGATCCACCACTCGTTGAGCCACCTGCTCCAAAACGTCGGCCACAGGCACTCCAGCCTCTACCGGCAGAGGATCGCCCGAACCGCTGCCAACATTGACAGCAGGCACTTCGGAGCTAGATACCGCCTTACCGTTGATAGACATAACGAACGAGCTGCTCAAGCGACCAAAAGACGACTGAGAAAAGAACTCGACGACAGCAACTGACAAGGCAGACTTGGCTCCCAGCCTATCTCGTGTTTAATATACATATATGTTCGATGCGCCATCAACACTAAAGTGTAAGGTGGTGCAGAGAGGAAGTAGGAAGGAAGAAGAAAAGATGGCGAGAGTATAGTTCAGAGGTGGAATCAGCTAATTTTATTTCGTTTGTGAGCTCGTCAAATAAAGAGCATTGTGCAGTCAAATCATAGAGCATTACTTCCCGGATCAACCCATAGTCCCGTGTGGCAACATTTTGGTCCTTCGAGCCGGATACGGGCTCAGCATTGGGAAATTCCTGGGCCACGTAAAATTAACCGATCTCAGTGCACGTCGCAGATCGTCGTATTACCAGGAATCAGTGACGCGAGAGCTCAATTCCCGCGAATTTCGGGAAGTTCACGACAAATTATCATTGATAATCATTGTTAGAGGTTATCTATTGCATTGGTGCAAGGGCCAGAAGCATAGATCGCGGCAACGCATTACACATACAGCGAAGATTCGAGAAGTGAACGTCGAAGGAATTCCGGACACCATCTTGTAGCCGATGCGTATCCAAGCGACAGTGTGGCCGCTTGTGCGCAGGAAAAAGTGAATCGGTCGCTGAACACAGCCCGAAGATCTGTCGGATTCACGAGTGTGTGAGGTTAAGGAAACTTCCACAAGTCCGGTCAATTTCGCAGACGAAGACAATACATCGTATCGCACCCTCTTGTGTGCAACACCCATCGAGATAAGAGATTACGACGTCTCAGTCTTGTTATTTAGACAACAGTTCTCACGCATAGCAGCAGGTCGACGCAGTGTCGGATCTGCGGTTTGGATTTATTTGGTCTGTATTGTCATATTACATAGAATTACTTTGATTTCCGCATAACAATGCCAACTCAAAAGGAAAGCGATGCATCACGATTAACCTCACTAAACAAAGAGAGGGGAATCGTTAAAGGTCAGGTAACTCGCATTCACAATTACTTCACAGATCTTACCATTGAGAGCGCGGACCCTGAGGAGATCGCAGTAAGAGAACAAAAGCTCCGCGGTTTATGGGATCAATTCGAGATTGCTCAAGCTAAAATAGAGGATATTCAGGCAGAGGATGAGGATCCTAATCAATCGGAAGAACAAAAAAGGGAACGATCAGAGTTCGAAACTACATATTATCATTCGATGGCGTTGGCCAAACGGCTCCTTGCGCCAACGACACCACGCGACACACCAGGAGCTTCGAGACCACTCAGGACTCCAGCAGTCGACGAACCAGAGGGAGTTGCGACATCCAGCATAAAATTGCCGCAGCTCAATCTCCCTAAGTTCGATGGCAATTATTCGCAGTGGCTGTCATTCCGAGATTCATTTCAAGCGCTCATCGATGAGTGCAATACCTTGTCAGATATTCAGAAATTTTATTATTTGCGCTCTTCGCTTCAAGGAGTCGCTGCTCAAGTAATAAACTCCCTAGAAACCACGGCGGATAATTATCACGAAGCATGGGAATTGTTAAAGACGAGATTTGAGAATAAACGTCTGATGTTACACCATCACGTACATTCGCTCTTTGACATAACCTCGATTCCAAAGGAATCAGCTTCACAGCTTCGTAAACTCGTAGACGATATCCTTAAACATTTACGAGCGCTCAAAACACTTGGTCAACCAACTGATCAATGGGACTGTCTCATGATTTATTTAGTAAGTTCTAAATTAGATGCAGCCACAAGGCGTAAATGGGAATCAAGTATCACGACAAATACTCCTCCGACATTTAAGCAACTCACAGATTTCTTGACACAACATTGCTCAGTATTGGAGACCTTGCAGCCCGCGAAACTTACAACTAACAAAGTGCAAGCCGAACGGAAGGATAAGAAACCAGAACAAACTACTTCATGCGTGAGCACTAAAGATACTTCCAAGGCTTGTCCAACATGTAAGGGCGATCATTCTATTTATAATTGCACTAAATTCAAAGAATTGTCTGCCGAAGAGCGAGTGAATGAGATAAAGCGAATCAAATTGTCTTTTAACTGTTTGCGTGATAGTCATTCGGTTGAGAAATGCTTGGCGGGCGGATGTAAGCGATGTGGTAAAAAACACGTTAATCCATTATGACCGACCGCGTGTCGAGAATCAGAGCGAAGCTTCGCCTAGTGAAGGGAGCAGCATCAAGTCAGATACTCGTAATAATAAGTCAAAGGATCAATCAGATCAAGTTTCATTATCGCAATGCGTGGCTAGGAAGAGACCGCAAGGCTTACTGTCTACAGCACTAGTCCTAATTTACGATAAGTCAGGTCGATCGCATGTGTGCAGAGCTCTTTTGGATTCGGGATCTCAGTCGAATTTGATCACGACGCAGTTTTGCGACAAACTACAGTTAACAAAGTACGAGGCAGATGTTTCGATCTCTGGCGTCAACTTAAACCGCTCTACTGTTAAGAAATCCGTTCACGCGACGATTAAATCACGAGTGAACGAATTCAAATCAAATCTTTCGTTTCTAATTCTGGATCAAATCACCGAAAACTTACCAATGTCCGGAATCGATATTCAACAGATCACAATTCCAGATAATATTGTCCTAGCAGATACGTCTTTTCACAAGCCGGGGAAAATCGACATACTTCTCGGAGCCGGTGTATTTTGGAGACTGTTGTGCGTAGGACAACTCCACATGTCAGGCGGTCAATTAATACTACAGAAAACTAAACTAGGTTGGATTGTGTCGGGTAACATTTTGCCAACTAAGATGAAGCACGCTGACACAGAGATAGTAACATGTGGAGTAGCTTTTGAGAAGACCCTCGAAGAACAAGTTGAAGAATTTTGAAGAATAGAGGAGTATACCCCAACTAAAAAAATATTCACAAGAGGAACAACTATGCGAGGAGGAGTTTAAGACAACGCATCGTAGAGATCAAGATGGACGATTTATTGTTGGACTTTCATTTCGTCAAGACATCGATCAGTTGGGAGAATCCCGTAGCACGGCAGTCAAACGCTTACGAGCACTGAACCGGAGATTGGATCGACAACCCGAACTGAAAATGCAATACAAGGCATTTTTAGATGAGTACCTCACATTAGGCCACATGACAGAAGTCAACAGCTCCGACGTCCAGAACGAGACATTGTACCACTACATTCCGCATCACGCAGTGTTAAAAGAATCGAGCACAACGACTAAATTACGCGTTGTTTTTGATGCATCGTGTAAGACATCTACCAACGTTTCTCTTAATGACATCTTGCGAGTCGGCCCTACTATTCAGCAAGATCTGTTTGCAATCGTCGCTCGTTTCCGACAACATCAATACGTTATTACTGCAGATATAATAAAAATGTTTCGGCAGATACAATTACGAGATGATCAACGCGATCTTCAGAGAATCCTGTGGCGGTCAGATTGGAGTCAACCGATAAAGGAATACAGATTAAATACAATCACATATGGACTCGCCACAGCACCGTTCCTCGCAATCCGATGTCTTCATGAAGTGGCTTATCAACACGAACAGGAGTCTCCATTCATCAGTAACATCATTCTGAACGACTTCTATGTCGATGACCTGCTTACCGGTGGCGATACGATAGAGCAAGTCAAGATCATTAAGAAAGAAATCAGTCGAATATTGCTCACCGGCAGATTTCCACTTAGGAAATGGAATTCAAACACACCCGCCATTATCATAGATGAAATCGAGAACACATCAGCGGATGATCAACCTATTGGAGACGAGGTCAAGACACTGGGACATTATTGGAATCCACTGGATGATGTTCTTCGATACAAGATAAACACGAAGAGTGACAACACACGAATAACGAAGAGAACACTCTTATCACTCATATCCCAGATTTACGACCCACTAGGCTTAGTTGGGCCGGCTTGTATCAGAGCCAAAATCATCCTTCAGCAGCTCTGGCGTCTAAAAATCGGATGGGACGAATCTCTGCCAGCCGATTTGCATACCATGTGGGTGCAATATTACAGCCAGTTGTCTTCTATCAGTAGCATCTCAATTCCACGACTCATCGTTTGCGCAAATCCTAAGAAGATTGAACTTCATGGATTCTGTGATGCATCCGAGAGTGCCTACGGAGCATGCATTTTCATTCGATCACTCACCGTCGAGGGAGAATATTTAGTAAGGTTACATTCAGCGAAGTCCAGAGTAGCTCCTTTAAAGGTCATCAGTATACCGAGGCTTGAATTATGCGGAGCCCTTCTGCTTGCGCGACTCGTGCGCAAAGTTCTGGAGGCGTTAACCTTATCAATCGATGAGATACACTATTGGTCGGATTCACAGGTCACATTAGCTTGGATCGCCGGAGAGCCAACTGAGTGGAAGACCTTTGTAGCGAACAGAGTCGCTGAAATACAGCGACTATCCAATAAGAACTGCTGGCATCATGTGTCTTCTAAGGACAATCCCGCGGACGTATTGTCACGTGGCATCAACCCAGAGCAATTGGAGAATTTTAGATTATGGTGGAACGGCCCGCCATGGCTATCTCAACACATCGACATATATCATAAATCTAAACCAATCGATGAAGAAGTTATAAACACAAGTGTCGTCGAAGCAGCAGAGCAAATACCCGTTCTCAACAACGTTATTCAAGAGTTTGACTTGTTAGAGCGATATTCTTCTTGGTCAAAACTTAAAAACATAATGGTATACTGCTTACGATTCATTCGCAATGTCAAACAATTGTTGGTGACAAGGAAATCTAGAGACTCTAATAATCGACAATCCACCCTGAATCCAACAATAAAGGAGATACAGTTGCCATCGGTAGAAGAGTTAGAGCAAGCAACTACAACGATCCTGAGACTCAACCAAGCACGAGATTTCCCGCAAGAAATACGAGATTTGACAAGTAGGCGCAAGTTGCAAGGAAATAGCAAACTATTGTCATTAAACCCGTTCATCGATGACAATGGGCTTATACGAGTTGGAGGACGCCTTCGGCAAGCTCCATTGCCGTACACACAGCGTTTTCCAGTAGTGCTATCGTCCGGCGGTCATATCACGAAACTAATCATCCGAGATCAACATGTGAGAAATTTGCACGCCGGTCTGCAAGCATTATTAAGTATCATAGGCGAGAAATATTGGATCTTAAGTGCACGATCCGCGGTCCGAAGAGTTCTGCACGGGTGCATCATCTGTTTTCGTACGAGTGCAAAGAATCCTCACCAATTAATGGGTGACTTGCCTGAATGTCGAGTCACGCCCTGCCGCGCATTTCTAAACGTAGGGGTAGATTACGGAGGACCGTTCAACGTTAAGGTCTCACGGAACAAATCATCCAAGGCATATTTATGTTTATTTGTGTGTCTCGCAACGCGTGCGGTACACCTAGAACTTGTAACCGATCTCAGCACTGCGGCATTTCTCAATGCATTACGGCGGTTTATTGCGCGGCGAGGTAAATGCGCGAATATTTACTCAGATAACGGCTCTAATTTTGTTGGCGCCAATAATGAGCTCAAGGCTCTGTTGAATTTACTACGAGACAAATCTCATCAGTCAGAGGTATCACAGTATTTATCCGATCGATCAATTAAGTGGCATTTTATACCGCCCTACTCTCCCCACATGGGTGGCATTTGGGAAGCCGGCATAAAGTCCGCCAAGACGCATCTGAAGCGAGTTCTTGGCAATCCACTCGTGACATTCGAGGAATTCTACACATTATTGACAGAGATTGAAGCAATTCTTAATTCTAGGCCTCTGACACCGATGTCGAGTGATCCTAATGATTTCTCTGCTCTTACCCCGGGTCATTTTTTGATCGGTTCATCCTTGACTGCTATACCTCAGGTGGATTTGCAGGACACCGTTTCAAATCGTCTAACTCGTTACCAATTATTGATTAAATTATTACAACACTTTTGGTCTCGATGGAGTAGAGAAGTGTTATCTCAAATGCAGCCCAGAAATAAGTGGAAGAGCTGTAATCTTACTGATTCATTGAAACCTGACACGCTTATAATTCTAAGAGACGATAGATTGCCGCCACTACAATGGAAGCTTGGTCGCATAACAGAGATTCATCCTGGAAAGGATAAACTTGTTCGAGTCGTTAGCATCAAGACTAGCAATGGTATTGTACAACGTAGCCTTTCAAAGATTTGTATCGTACCGACACTCGATTAGACATAAGTAAATTTTAAGCGATATTGCGGATTTTCTTTTTTTTGATTCTTTTATCAATGTATCTTAAATAAGATTAAGTTTAGTTTACGTTCATGGTTTAACGCTCCTATTAGTATTTGTTGAAAAGCGGAGATTTTCAAGGCGGACGATATGTTTAATATACATATATGTTCGATGCGCCATCAACACTAAAGTGTAAGGTGGTGCAGAGAGGAAGTAGGAAGGAAGAAGAAAAGATGGCGAGAGTTTAGTTCAGAGGTGGAATCAGCTAATTTTATTTCGTTTGTGAGCTCGTCAAATAAAGAGCATTGTGCAGTCAAATCATAGAGCATTACTTCCCGGATCAACCCAATAGTCCCGTGTGGCAACATCTCGAAACCCAACCAAGATTAAGCAGAAAAGCAACGAGAGCCGAAGATCACGTAACAAACTTAGCGATAGAGCGTGAGAAAGCTACAAGCATGAGAAAGTTGACTACTTAAAATGACGGGAACAAAAAAAAGGAGAAACTACCAAAGATGGCACCTGTAAAGAAATAGCAAATAAATAAAAATATATTTTTACCTCGGACGCCTTACTCCTCCCCGGATATAACAACTTCGCCGTCCGAGTCGTCAAGATCCCCGTTTAGGAGGGTCTCCAGAAACTCGCGTGGGAAACCAGCAAATGACGAAAAAAATCGGTCGGGCGACCCCATGACGTCAAAACGATCTCGCCCTGGTCCGAGCCGTCACCGCCCTCGCCCCCGTCATCACTGACGTCCCACATGGGACCAACTTCGCTAATGCCCTCCAAGGGATCGTCAGGATCAGACAAAACCGGGGACACCATAGGCCCAATACTGAAATCGTCGTCACTAATGTTCTCCAAGGGATCGTCAGGATTAGACAAAACCGGGGCCAACTCTGAACCAAGATTGAGATCGTCCTCGGAGTAGTCCTCGAAGATGTCCCCGTAGATGTCCTCGAAATCGTCAAAACGTACATCAAACTCCCGCTCGACGGTAGGGATGACACCCTCGTCATCCCCAGAACCACTATCCTCAAAATTAAAACGAGAACGGACACTTTCGACCGACCGAGGATCAAGAAAATGCATTTTTACTTCAGAGCAACAGCTTAGCACAACAGCCTGCCAACAACTAAGGGACTGAATACTAATGACAGCATCACGAATAAAACGTCTAACCTATCGCGAAGAGAGTTAAAAGATATCACAACAAACTATATTATACCTGATAAGACCACACTTCGGAGACAAAGAAAGACAAGCCCAAGCGATAGAAGACGAGTATATCGCATAGAATAACGCCTAAGGAAGTAACGCGAACCTTTAACTTTCAGAGTAACGATATTGATATACTACGCAATGGCAACAGAAAACCCTGGCACAGCACCACCGTACGAAGTGACACCGTTCGACACACAACCTGGAATATACTTCGAAAAAGTAGGAAGAATGCACTCCGTCGAAACTTCATGGAAATTGGTGATAAAAACAGACCTCACTCCCCTAAACACGCGACTGAGACAGGTAACGCAATACGTTGAACGCACTGAAGCAATGTGCAACAGATTACTAGCTCATGAGAGCACGTGTAAAAACCTCCATGCAATAATAAGCAAAGGAGAGCAGAGAATACAACAACTCATAAAAAGAGTTAAGACAATGTACAAAACACCGAATAAGCGACGCCGAATAATAGACGGAATAGGATCTATAGCAAAGACACTTTTCGGAACGATGGACGCAGACGACGAAAAACTAATAAATGAACAAATCTCATTACTAAAAGAAGCGGACAAAGTGACAAAACATGCGCTACAAAATCAGTTGAGAGTAATAAACTCAACACTAACACATATCGACGACCTAGAAAAGGCAATAGAACAAAACGAAAATATCTTAAAGGGACTAATAGAAAAAATACAGAATCAACTAGTGACACATAGCCGACGACACGATCTAGACGAACACTACACGTTAATTAACGCCATCATAAACGACTTAACACATGACACCATAGACACATTAGACTATATAACATACATTAAAGAAGGAATCTACACCCCAGACTAACACCGATAGAAAGTATAATTGACAGCCTAAAAGACGCAGCGATAAATCTACCGCAAGGACTGTACTTCCCATTTAACTTACGACAAGAAGAATGGTTAAACATAGGGATGCGCGATGTTGACCGATTAATCGAAACGTCCGATTTTTTTGGTCGATTAATCGATTTTTAACTACCAATGTTTTTGAGATCCAATATATCGATATTCGGTTTTTTCTTGTAAATATCGAAAATTTGCTTCGCCTTAAAATAAAGAAAAAAGTTAAAATTCTAATGCTGTAGTAATGTTCCAAGTTGGGTACGTTTTGGAACACATTTGAAATCGCTGTGCTAATCATAGGCCTGTTCTTTATTACTGCACTACTGAACTAGTGCAATAAGTTAAAATGAAACAAATAGATTACCTCTTATTCCAACTTATTGCACCAGTGTGCACTAGTTCAGGAGTGCAGCAATAAAGAACAGACCCTATGATGCACCATAGATCTTGGTATATAAGATCTATGTCATGCACCAAGTAGTTTTGCATGATTTCGAATGTGTTCCAAAACGCACCCAACTTAGGCTATCTAGGCATTTAGCATCTTTTACGACAAAACTGCAAGTTGATTGGCTACACATTTCTTGGATTGAGATTTTGGACCGATTTCTAGCATTGTGGACACAAGGCTTTAATGACGTACACGCACCGGCATAAATGTCGTCCCTATCCGTGTGAGGCGCACGCACACAACAGCGAACGACCCATGGACGTAAGAATATATGGACGGAGTGTAAGTGAGGGGGGCCGAGCCAGAGCAGTGAGGGGAAAAGTAGTCATCAGTCATCACATATGGCGGCGACGCTACCAGCCTATCACGAGGCGTCCTATACAATCACCTAGTCATCACATATGGCCGCCACCACGGTTTTACGGTGGCCGCCACCTAATTTCCCCTCACCGCGCTCGCTTGGGTCCCCTCGTCCTAAATCCTACATTACGCTCCGTCCATATATTCTTACGTCCATGGAACGACCAATCCGAAAGTCGCGCCGCAGTCGTCCGACGATCGGATTAGTCACCCGCCTGTTTATGTATGTGCGTCTCACACAAATAGGGACGGCATTTATGCTGATGCGCGTACATATAAAAAATTGAAAAATTATTGTACATTGTTGGTGATAAGTGTGTGAAAATGTATAAAGACAAAGGTAAGATGTGAATTAGTTATATTCTTGTTTAATGGATCTATTGCTAAGCAATTTGAAAACTAACCTCAACAACTGATCATCAACCTTGGTCCATATTCTGAATTCTCTTTTATCAATAAAAGTGCCACTAAAAGTAGCTTTGAAGGATTCTTATTGGCTGAAAAGATCTTTTACGGGCACTTTTAGCGACAAAAGAGGATTCAGAATATGGGTCCTTATCTCTCTGGCATTATCGAATTTCATTGAATTTGACGGATCAAATTTAGTTTCATTTATCACATTTCTTTTTATCCAATAGATCCTAAGGTCTATACGATTTATTTTCGTATCAATGAACAGCCCTCCTTCGTTACAAGAAAATTGACTAAATTTGAGTATCTTCAATTGATACGTACGTATCTTTTTTATGAATTTATAAATACGATTGATATCATGTTATCAAGTATTTGTAATTAATTGTTACATAATATTGAAATGATAATTTCAGAGGATGATAAAGTGACTTGGCAGTTTGTCCAAGAAATGCACGGTCCAATAGTTCAAGAGTGGAACCTTGCTGTTGATGTTTTGTACCGATCGATTGATGATGTTAATTAGTAAGTTTCACAGAATAATTATTGTAATTTATATATAATAGAATCTCTAATTCATTTCTATAACTTGAAATTCCTTCTCTACAGCACACGGGTTATGATACCAAAGCAATCACTTACTAGGAACAAGGATCTCCTGGTTTCTCATGCATATGTCTCTGACATAGAATCAGTGACGTTATGCAGTACAGTGAGCTCTCATCACGAAACACATGATATATCATCAGTAGCGGGTCCATCTTCCAACAATGAATATTCTAATGCCAGATTTCAGATAAAACCAGCAGACAAGGAAACTGCACTAACTGTTAACCCACAAGTTGAAAAATCTAAAGTTCTTGTGAATGAAATAAAATCAGCTGTGGAGAAAAATAATGCAGGGTAAAAATTGTAAAACAATTTATCTTTCATTGTTTCTTTTCACTTTGATAAGATTTTTAATAGTTGTATTATTTACAGCATTAGGAAAAAGAGTCCTGTATGGGCATATTTTGAAAGTAAGGATGCTGAATATGCTGTATGCACCATTTGCAATGCTAACATTAAACATTGTGGTGGGACAACAAATTTAAAATCACATTTGACCAGAAACCATTGGTTATTGTGCACTAGCACATTAAAAAATAAGAAAGATGATACATCTGAGTCTTTTTTTTTTTACGTGTGGAAATCCTTTAGGGATACCCGGGCCCCCCTCTGGGAAGGGAGTTTACAAAGTGGCCCGGGTTATGTGGGACTGCCCCCCTAG